CCTCACTAGCTACTTCCTACAACAATATTGGTGAAGTGTATAACAGAATGGCCAACTACTTGAAAGCCCTTCAATTTTATGAAAAAGCGTTTCAAATAAGAGAAACAGATCTTCCTCAGAATCATTCCTCATTGGCTAGTTCCTACAGCAGCATGAATAGTGTATGTTATCACACGGGTAATTACTCTGAAGCACTTGAATTGTACGGCAACACACTTAAAATCTTCAAAGACACCATGCCTCCGAATCATCCGAATTTGGCTACCTCCTACAACGACATTGGTTTAGTGTATGACAACATGGGTAACTACTCCAAAGCGCTTGAATGGTACAATAAAACACTTAAATCTTCGAAAACATCCTTCCTTCGAGTCATTCACACTCGGGTAATTGCTACAACAACATTGACTTAGTGTATCAGAACATGGGTGACTACACAAATGCACTTTCCTTTGCAAAAAAAGCACTTGCTATGTATCAGAAATCGCTTTCGCCAACACATCCTATTATAAAAACAGTTATAGTTAGTATTAAGTATATGAAAAAGAAGCTGTAAATGTTTGTTTGTCTATTGATTTGCTCAATAAATTCTATACAACTTCTGCTATGCGTAGTACGCTACTTTTTCTAGCTACTATATGCGTGCGGGTGTAGCTGTGCGTAAGTATGCTGCTTCTCTTCTTCTGTCGCTCAGACCCACACCCACACCCACACCCGCTCTCAGTCTAGAGAATCAAGAAAAACAACTTCATAGTAGGTAGTAATTCTCTAAGTAGTCTATAAGGAACTGTTTTTTTTTTTAAGAAATCCTCAAGAGTTCTTTACTATCGACGTTGTACATATAAACTAATTGAGAATGTTCTATTTGAAGAGTGCCATTTTAGAAACAAGTTTTATATGAGTATTTATAAATTATCAGGCTCATGTGTCACAGATTAAACATGATATTTTGTCAGAAAAATGTGAGCAAATAAAAGTTAATTATCTATATTCAATTTTTTTCTGGTATTTTTATGACTGACCGCCAAAATATCGAAGTTGTGAATAGCGAAAGGCATGTTTCATTATATGAAATAGTGTGAATATCGTAAGGGATTTGGGTGTGCTAGTCACACAACCAGGACTTTTGTATCGACTGAATCTCAGCTTTAGAGTATGGGATGCAGATGAAACTTATAGGTGATAATATTGGACCAAAATGATGAGTATTTATCAAAAAACTTTCGCGATCGAAGTTGTCAAGAAAGGGTGTGGGTGTAGGCAGAGATGAGCGAGCCGCGGTGTAAAACCGCCCCGTCCCGCCCCGCCCCGCCCCGCCGGCGGGGCGGTGCTAAAACTTGACGGGGCGGGGCGGTGACGGTGCATGACGAAATTTCGCGGTTTCCCCGCCTTTGTATAACCTTGATTTTTTAAATATACTCAGACCTTTAGAGACATCTTTTAAAAATTTAAAAATTTTTTCACAAAACTAATCAGTAAAAAAAGACTTGTTAGCGCAGCTCCAGAGGGGCTAAAATGTGGAACTCACATATATTTTTTTAATTTCTTGTCCTGATGCCTTATTTTTAAATTGTAAAATACCTTTTTTCCGAATACGTATGAAATCATTGATATATTATATAAAAACTAGAGCCTTTTATGCGCTGCTGAGGTCTGTAATGGTGGGGGTCAGGGTTACCAGATCGAAAATTAAAAAATCAGAAAAATTTTTCTAAAAATTGGGAAAGTCGGAATTTTTGTTCTCGAAATCGGAAGAAAATCAGAAAGTATTTTTCCATGCTTAAATAACTAGTCTATATATTTTCGATAGCTTCAATATCCTTTATCTTGCTTCTGTTCATCTTTTCGAAGCAATATCAGAAATGATATTTCATAAAGAATTAAAGAAAATATCAATTACACAATTTACTCATGATTGAGAAATCTACATAAGTAATTTGAACAGGATCACATTATTTTTATCAAAAATGCTATAACCAACTTGACGAAACAATAGAATCAGTATTGTAAATTCATACACACACATGCATTTCACAAAACTTATGCAAAAGAAAACTAAGACTTATTCTGTATAATGTTCGTTTTTTGTTCATACTTTTTTATTAGCTCGAATACTCTTCAAAATATCAGGTTGAGGTAACAGATATTCATAAAAATGTCCACAAGTATAAACAGAACTCATTCCGATTTTCAATTCTGCAACAGCTAAATTAGTACCCATACGATTATGATTAGTTTTATGATATCTGTGATGAAACAAAAAAAGCTCAGAAACGAAAATATTCTTAATTAACACTATAGTAAACGAACAGAGAAAGTTAGTTCATCGTGATAGAAAGCTGGATCTTAATTGTCTGTAAAACATCATAGTTTTATTGGAGGATATGCTTTCAAATCACTGCAGTGTGGTTTGTTGAGTTCATGAGGCTTCACTACCCGATAACTATGGTGAAATAGATCGCTATATATGTGTGGTGTCGTGTCATGGCTAAACTATTCTAGAATGTCCTAAGAACTTGAATTCCCAAATAAGACTTCGAAAACCGGAGAAAAATTAGGAAATCTGAAGGCGATCGGAAAAATATGTTAAAATCGGAACGTCGGAAAGTCGTTGGAGAAACTCTTAAAAAATCGCAATTTTTCCTGCCGTACCGAAAGATCTGGCAACCCTGAGTGGAGTGTCTGTAATGGAGTGGGGGAAGGGAGTGGGGGAAGGGAGAGAGCCGCTAAACCTCGAACTTAAAACTTACAATCACTATTTTATTCGAAAATATACGTGAGTTCCACAAAATGAGTGACTGTATTACAATTGCCTTTCATTTTCATATATTTATTTTTTTCTATTTCGGAACGATGTTTATGCATTTAAAATATGCCTCTTCATCTCATGAAATGAAATAGCCATTATGAAAATTTAATGAAAAATTTGTCAATAAATAGTTTTTTAAAACATATTTTTGACGGGGCGGGGCGGGGCGGGGCGGTGGCGGTTTCAATGCTAAACAGGCGGGGCGGTGACGGTGCGGAACTTTATCGGCGGTGCGGGACGGGGCGGTGGCGGTGCGACTTTTTTGCTGACTCGCTCATCTATGGGTGTAGGTATGTGTATGAATCTTCTCTATACCCACACCCACATTTGTCGTCTCGATCAATATTTCGTGCATCTTGAATGACTAATCTATCATATAGCACTGAAAATTGTTTAGTTTACATAAAAATATGTATTATATTTTCGAAGAGTATTAATATACATTTATTCAATGAAATCAATCGACTCCTATGCATGATACGCTCAGAAATTGAATTTAAGTAGTCAATTATTAATCGATGAATCATCACACTCATAATCTATGCGTCTATGCGTGGAGGCTTGCATCTAACAACAGCTCATCTAATCAGAAGATCTTGCGAATTTAACTTCCTTTTCTATACTGGCCAATACGATTAATTATCAGTGATTTCTTTTAGGTTTCAGAATTTGAATCATCATTGATTTGACAAAATTAGACTAGTGACAATACCATTACTACAAATCACAAAAATGAAATCGAGTAGGAAATCAATGATTTTATCCCACAACAATTGAAGTTCATGATCCATTTTTATTCTTATAAGCTAATATTATTAAGATGTTCAGTTCATCCAGAGGTAAGACAAGTACCAATGCAGCAAGTGTAAAGTATTTCACTTGTCTTTGCACAAGTATCCTTGCTCTTGTACTTGTTACTCACTCTGTATGAGTCATAATAACTGCAACATCTAAAATTTTGTAAAACCCGAGAAACTGATTATAGATTCGATTTTCTCGCTCCCGAACACTGTTCACGAAACTTTATAAAGAATAATTCACTTTGAAGAATGGCTTTTCTTTTGATAAACTCAGAAGACTTTCGTTGTCGTTACTTGCTAACGATGACTTCCCTAGTGAAAATATTCTGAAAAGTTTTGTTTGAAATAAGAAGACGCCCATTCGTTAACAATTTTTTCATTTTCAATTCCTATTCTAGTGGAGAATTGCACAGCACATCTTCTAAACAAAGCAAGATTATACGATTAATCTATGCTGAGATATTAGGAAAAAAAAACTAGATGTTGTAATGGTTATGACTCATTCGGTATAAGTACTTAGTACACTTGATGAGTGTTTGTACTTTTATTTTCACATGAAAAAGTACGAAAAGCACAAGTACAAGTACGTTCGTTCAAGATCTGATTTCATCTAAATAGGATGAAATAACATATACGATGAGTCAAATTCATATGATAGGTATAGACCTTTGGATTTCAGTCATAGAAAAAGAACTGACTGATTAAAATTATCTGAGATCAGATTGCATTGAGAAAATCAATGTTGAGATTGGAATGAAAAACTTAAATCAATCTTATTAAAAAAATTTCTACAATTTAAATCAGACTTAAGAAGAAAGAAACGACGTTTGCTTCAGTTTTACCTTCCAAACAATCTGAAAAAAAAAATTTAACTTTCAAAACTTGTAGACTTTGTATAATTTCTAAACACAACACTAGTCGAGAGATATTCGACTTAATCTAAAAATTGAATCATGACTATAATCAACTCAAGTTTCTATTCCGCATTTTACTACAATAAAAGCTAATGGATATTTCTTTTTTGATTACTAAATTTCTGTTATATAGATAGTTCATAATGTCTTTTTTTTCACTCTTATCTATAAATCTTAATAATCTCATTGAAACTCAATCTCAATACAAAGATTCATATAAAAATATTTGAAGATATCATCTTGTTTGACGTGAATTAGCAATTAAATAAATGGTCATTTTCTGAAGCTTATTCAAGACGTACATTAGTAATCGATTTGGAATTTGATCAAATCCTGAAGTTACAACTTTTCCTAGTTCATACAATATCAATAATTAAATTTTTACTTTATTTTTTATTAATACAATTTATTCATTGTAATTATATGTCAATATGAATAATGACAAAAATTTTTTATGTGATATAAAAAAAAAGACAGTTAGTGAGCAACAGTTTGATTTCGTTGAACAGCATCATGAACGATTTGTTCCAATGAGATTCTTTCCAATCCTAGGTCTTTATTGTTTATTTTGTCTTCAAAATCACATGCACCTTTACCACTATATGCCAATCCTAGAATAAATGCAACATAAGCATCCAAAAAGTTACCTTTTGTCCATTCTTCTTGTCCTTTTTTCAATGTGTCTTCCGTAGTCACATGTTTCACTGTCCATTTTATATTTGTATATTTCTGCAAAAGAGCTAACACATCCTGTTGTGTAAACGTGACATCAGCAATGTAAATTCGTTTATTTAAACATAGTTCAGGATGATGAAGTATAGCAATAATAGCTTTACCAAGATTTTTAAGCAGTGTACCTGATACTAAATGTTTTCCTTCATCATAAAGTGTGGCCGTATGATTAGGTATATCAAAACATAAAAAGCCATTGTCAAGACCCCAATCAAGAAAAGCACCAGTAGAAATCAATGTATGTGCAAGACGTGATTGATTTTGTTTGAGAAGTTTGATATTTTCCAGTCGAGGAATATTAAAAGGAATTGAAGAGGCAGACGAATGATCTAGGTCGAAACCATATTCAGATGGAATGAACCATTTAACACCTGCTTCAAGAGCAGCTTCAATCAAAATTTTATCAAGATTTTGCAATAAAGCTTCACCACCAACAGTAGAAATAACAATATCTTGACCGGTTAATGCTTTAACAAGAGTTGATTTATCTGAATAGCTAACTTGAATAATATTGACATTCGATGGAAAATCTACTGATGAATCCGTACGTGAAAGAACACTAATTTTAAAACTGGAATCAGCAAGTAAATCAGATAGAACATGTTTACCAACATTACCAGAAGCGCCAACTAATAGAACGTTCTTATATCCACCTTCAGACATGTTTAGTGATGGTGAAATCAAGAAAAAAAAGAAGTATTAAAAAACCGATTATGCGAATGGGTTTATATATAGTGGATTCTGCATTATCACCATGACGAACCAGGTTTTTTTTTTTGCTTCACCGATATGATTTATGTTTTTCTTTTTTGTACTTGTACCTCATTGCGATAAGACAATCAAGGTCGATGAGAAAAAAATGTGAACGTAAATATAAGAAAGGTTATCCAGATGCACATTTTTCTTTTTTTGGCATCTAGTTATTGTATTATTTAACATTGAGAAAATAAGAAAAAAAGCAAACATTATAAATAAAGATTATATATGACAAAAATAGACAGAGTTATGAAGTATAGAATTTTTATGTTTGACATTCTTGTGAAATGTCTTTTCTAGCAAAAGTAAAGTTTTTCATGATGGGAATGTTCGATTTATCGGGAGTATAGTTAATAGTATTAAAATCATGTGTAATCTTATTGAAATTATGTCGAAAAACAATACATGTTTAGATGTAAGCAAATAAAAGTCAGTAAAATTTAAACAACAGAACATAGATACAATGTATACTTTCAGATTATCTTCATACAAAAAGATGGATATATCATCCTTTAAGGATGTATAAATTTGTTCAAATGACTTAATCTCATCAATACATGTCTAGACTGCATACGAACAGTAAATACCATCAAAGTATTATGAGAATCGAAAATTACGAGATTTGAAAAAGAAAATGCCGTCAATTTAAACAAAACAGCATAACAGATGATTAAATGAATTGTAGATGGATGTGAAAAAAAGCAGATCATAATCATCGTGTAACAGCCTTTACTACATCGTTTTTGTCGATGATATGTATGTTTGTCATTGAAAATTGACTTGCCATTGAAAGAAATTTATTTTAAAAATAAAGATCTCACTTCAAGAAGTTTGAACTTTAATGTTACTATTCGAATGGTATTAACACTCAATGAGAATTTTCTAACATTTCAAAAGATATTGCCTTCTAATGGCTGAAGTTGTACTGACTCAACAGCTTAAACTGGCATGTTCACTAAATAGTTTCTTGGTATCGCATTAATTCTATAGTTATAATTTATGCAATTTACAAAGATATGAATTCATAAAATATAGTGTCTAGTAATATCTCGGTTTTTCACAGTGATATAATAGATTTCATTCTCTCTATGAGAGAAAACTGTTTCTAATTTTAAATGAGTTTCATCATCACCTACCGAGAGTACTAGGAGATGATTTTTGAGCGAAACTATATGCATTGAGTGCTGGTAAATCAGAATTCAATGTACATGCAAACAACTGAAAACATGATTCATAACTGATAAACCCTCACGTTGAATCAAATTCTTCTTTTGTGATTTTCATAACTTTATGACTCGATGGATCATTTACTAATTAGCGGATAATTCGTTCAACGGTAAATTCATGAACAGTTATGATATACTATCAATTGTAAGTAAAAGTAGAATCAAATTACTTGTTATTATTACAATAGAGTGAGCTGCGTTGTTACTTAATAAGTTGATTTATTTTTATTTGTTTTATCGAATCCTAGTTGTTCCAATGCTTAATGACTAAGAGAATAGTAAAACAAAGTATTTATTTTAGTATTTCGGATGTGTACTGATTCTCTTCTTATATCTATTGATGTTTATAAGAGCAATACTGCAATGATCCACAGTCTGAATTGCTTATAGATGAATGACGTTTTTTCTTTCTGCGAAACATATGACATGGACAATATTTTTATACGCGATCAAATAAGGAAAAGAATGAATATAGGCCAATCTAATGAAAAATACAATATATGAACCTTTACCAAAGCATATTGCATATTATTATATATTTGTATATATAATTCATTATTCATAAGCAACCCAGCAATACAATTTTCTTATTCATTATTAAATATGATTGAAAAAAATTAAAACTAAAACTATGTTGATAATCGATTTGTACCCATACAAATATCACGAATTCGTGGACATTTATCAATTTGAAGTTTAGCTTGTGTATATGAACAATTTGAAAGACACATTAATAAAGCAATAGGAACAATCTAAAAAGTACAATTATATTTATTAGAAATAAAAAAGAATATTGAATAAAAATAGATATTTACATGATCGTGATTCTTGGCAACAGCTTTTATATGCTGTTCGATTGTTTGGTTATTTAATTCATCATTTGTTTGATGAATCGATTGAATAAGACATTTTTCAGCAGTTTGTCGATCTACACCAGTTAATAACTATATAAAACAGAAAATTTCTCTTATCTATTATAAATCAAATAATAATTTACTTTAATAATATCAATAGCACGATGGAATAATTTTATATTACTAAAATAATCAATATAGATGAGATAGAATAAAAAATAAAAACAAAAATACCTAACACGAACATCAATCATTATATTTTGATAAACTTTTCCTTTTAAAATATGTGCACCAGTTGAAATCGTATTTAAACTTAATTTTAATATAGTTTCAGCAAGACAATATCGCAAAGTCATATCAGAAGATGTTATACATTTACTTAAATCAATCATTTGCACATTGGAATTCTAAATATATATATACATACAAGAAAGATATAATTTATTAAGAATTAGAAATAAAAAGCATAGCCTAACTGGTTCTAAGGATTCAGTACTTAAAAGCTTGATCCAAACAATACGATGTTTTTTCTGTTGAAGTTTATCGACAAGAGCTTTTTGTAAATGATATTCTATAATTTCGAAATAAACAAAAACAAATGATGAAGTACGTTTGGAAATTCTTTAGCTTAGATTTATATATACCTGAATCAATGAAAATTACTAAACTTGATGGTGGTAAATTTTCGAATAATTTCCATAAGTCATCAGGTGTTGATTCATGTAATGCAGGTGATACCTATGACAAAAATAAAATAAAATATACTTTAAGTAGAACAACTTCTACTTACAAATGAATTAGCTGGTTCAAGATTTAAATTCTTTTTAAAATAATCATTTGTCATAAAACCACGAATATCATCGTATGCTATTAAGAAAAAAGTCATACAATGAATATGAAATATATGAAAACTAATACGAACAAGAATTATAAGTTGGTACACATTCTGATGCATCAATCATACCCCAAATACCAAATGTTGATGAACCGACATATCGAATATATGTATTATTCAATAGACTAAAGTAAATTATTATTGTTCTATTACTAGCAATAAAATTTAAGAAAATAAACTTTAAAGAGCCGGGGATCGTTAAGCGATGAAGTGAGTCTTCTTTGAAAATGCAGTTTCTTCTTTATTGCACAGTCAAATCAGATGGCACAAGTCAAATATCGTCCAAACTAAACCTAATTCTAGCATGTATATGCAGTAAGAGGATAAGCCATGGTAAAATTTCCCTCCTATTGAACTAGACAGCATTCAATTGACTCGTCAAAGTTCTAGAAAATGATACTATTGCGTTAAGTTTAATTAGTGGGCAAGATATTTTACTCAAATGTAAACTGTTCATGAGTGCCAAAAATTACCTTTTTTTTTGACTAATATTTAATTGATTTTGGTTAAAATGATTAGACTTCCAATCCAAGCCGACAATATATTTAGAATCAGCATAGAAAACTGAATCGATCTAAATACGTCACAAAGTGTTTCGACAACTTGTATTTTCGTTTAAACTTCAGCCTTGATTTCTCTCAGGCTATTTTAACTGATTTTTCGATGTAATCCTGAACAGGAATAGGGCTGAATTGTTAGACGACAATTAAAGGTCATCAAAAGATTTTATGACATATATAGGTCGATTCAGTTTTCTATCATGATTCTATATATACCATCTGTTTTCATAGGAAGCCTAATAACTCTGACTAACATCAGTCACATATTAATGAAAACAGACAAGTTATGACTCTTAGAAGCACTCTACCGAATAATACCCAATTCAAAGTGAATCGCTGATCTCACCACGGTTTGTTCTGATATTGCACATATGAGTGAACAGTGTCATCCAAAAGAAATAACACAAAGAAGCATATTTTGTCATATTCTGATATGATTATTATAGAAACATTGCAAAGCATGAACCTAATAAGGACGGATGATATCAAGTTTTGAGTCAAATACACGTCGGTAGAATAAGGTCTTACTCAAATGGTATTTTACTAATGAGATCAACTATTGAAATATGATTTTCTTACCAGTCTCCAGCTTGTTGAACAACAGTAGCTAAATCCATTTGTGTATTTTTCATTCTATCAATGGTAGCTTTGAATTCTTCAATTACGTCTCTTACTTTGGCAGTATTATTAGTCGAAGCCAAATAGAAAGCTATATCAAGCATAACTTTTGTTGCTGTACCACCTTTCATTCTGGATGAACCAGATATAGGTTCAGGTCCAATAATTGGATTGAGAACTAATGCTCCTGTTGTTGTTTCCATTCGTACTGCAATATCATAAAATGTTTTACCATTAGGCCATTTCGGAACATGAATACGTCGTGCCATTGAAACAGGATTAAAACCAATAAGAACAGGTGTAAATTTTTTTGGATTGTCCAAACAATATTCTAATTGACCACCAACAAATGGCGCAGATATGCCACAAGTAATACCAATATAAAGAACATGTTCAAACGGTTCACTAATGTGCTTAAGTTCTACAGCACCTATAACTGGATCATCTTCACTCGCTTCTATAGATGTAACAAGAGCACTAAAAACATCAAAAGTAAATTATTAAATTAAGAATCTAAAAAAAGTAGTTATACCTATTTCCACCAGCAATAATATAACGATACTTTTCAGGAAGATTTCGTTCAAGACAAAGTTGATTAAAAAAAGTCTACATAAAAATAATAATAGTAATATATAGATTTTACAATAGAAATTTTTTATGTTCAGTTTCCAAGACTTACACTGGCAAGAAAACCTATTCGACCTGATGTACCACATCCACTAATTACAATAATACCTTTTTCATTCTAAATAAA